AAGTTTTGAAGCAAGAGTGGGCAAAAATACCACAATCTAAAATTGACGAGATGATTCTCAGAGATGCCCCAAGGATCAACGAACTCCACGAAGCGAAAGGAAGATCTACTAGATATATATTAAATTATAAATATATCAATTTGTGTGAGTATAACTGAAAAATTAAATTTTTTCTGAAAAGGTGGTGTCTATTTACTTGTGACCACGCTGTGTATATTCAACACACTGTTTATATATCACTTTAAAAGATCAGTTAGTGCTACATAAACAGACAACTGTGAGTTGTTATCAAACAGTATCATAATATTTCAGAGCAATTTGTCAAATAAAAAAAAAGAAAAAGAAGCCTAATTGAGCATGGTGTGACGATCATAAATGTGTCGTCTTTGCTCCTGAACCTGTCGTTTCCACTTGTCCTGTTGTTGTCCCACCCTGTTAAAAACTGTTGGAGTGGGTGATTGATGAGGTGTTACTGGAGAAACCGGCTCCTCCTGTGACATAAAATATGTTATTTACTAACCCTATTGATTATTTAATTGTTTACATAAATATTGCTCTTTTCCAATTGTGCAGTAATATAACCACTTTTCAAATGTTTCTACAGATTTTTGTAAAATATTTATCAGTGTTATTATTTTTTAATAGTGTTAAAATCGAATTTTAAGCCACTCTAATCTAAATTTCAATGGAGCCCACTGCAAAATTAATATCAAATTTATACTTTCAGCTTTACAGATGCAGCATACTTAAATTATAACCTTTTTGGAAATAAAAATCTCAATGGTATGAAGACAGCTGTGTCAACATACACACTGTAAGTATATTCATGTCCATAGAGATATTGGTAAAGCTGCCAACTATTTAACCTTTAACTTAAATATTTTCTAGTGATGGAAATATTTGTCAGGCTTAAGTTATCACAAAAAGAAAAATCTAGTCTACTTGGAGTATTCTTGAAAACAGGTTTACACACATCACGTGGTTGACATGCAGTTACTATGTGGGTTAAGTATTCGAAGCAAATCACTAGTGTACAAAATTTTACAAAATGTGATGAGAAGTTATTTGTGGTTTGAGGTCTTCAAACATCCAAGATTACTATTGGGTTATTATACATATAACTTCTCTACATAACATAGGTAAAACTCGGTGTATTTATCAATGGTTAAAATATACTGTAAGAGAGAAGATCTTGTACTCTGGACTAGTTTTTAAAGAAATGAATCAATGTCGTTACATGTAAAATTGTATTACCTATATAGTACCCCCATACATGTTCTTATTGTGACTGTTTATAAGTTGAAGGGCTTGGTTCTAAGTTTTCTTTTCTTACTAGCTGCAACTTTTATACTACATGTAATAAACACGTCATTCACAAATAAATTACAAAAAAAATATTTACTCAAGCAAACATGACAAGATGAAGTCTCGACTATAACGAGACTCTAATTCTTGATCAAAATTGACATTAAAACTCAACATTGTATACATTAATAGGTATTCATTACATCAATGAAGTTGGCATCAGATCATACAACTGCTATCAATGTTTCAAAACAAAACTACAGCACATGTTAAGGCATCGGTTGCTCAGCTGGTAACTTGTTGTAAGTATTGTGCATAGCATGTTGTCAACACTGTCAGTCTTAAAACTCACCTGGTTTAAGAACACATTACATGAACTTGACAACATACTGATGAAGCAACCATTGAAGAAAATAGGGGATGTAGAATTAATTAACAATTTCTGTGATAATTCATTACTAGTAATACTTACTTTTTTTTAATACTAGTAAATGGTAAATTTGAATTTGTAATATTCTAATTTTTCTACCAGTTGAAACCAATGTTCCCTCTAATTTTTTCAATCCATGTGAAGAATGAATTTTTTCATGTGCACCAGTATCAAGGCAAAGTGCAGATGTGCACTCCCAGTTTTTTACAGGGTTTTTTAGCCCATTGGCCTATTGACTACCAGTGTCATTAAGGCCGCCAACGCGTTGAGACTACTCACCATTACTGGGGATGTGCTCGGCACTTGATTGGTTGTTGTTCGGCCACGCGGCTTAGAGGAAACACTGGTTGAAACCAAGTCCAAGTTCCATGGATGAAAATTCTACTTCTGCAAGTTGATGACAGTGTGCACAAAGCTTTTACCTTTTCATTTGTAACTATAATGTCAAAATTATATTAACCAGTGCTGCTACAGTAGCTTAGGCATTTTTAACAATTACTTGTCACTTTGCCCAATCAGCTTTAAATATTTACTAAAGAAAGGGAGTAGGAGGTTCACAATATAAAAGTTTTGTCAAACACAGAGAGAAAAAAAATCAACTTTAACTAACTTCTAATGAAGATGACTGAGCCAAGAGGATGAGGAAGGCTAACCAAATGCAACAGGCCAAGATACAGGTTTCATTAATTTAAAGATTTATTATATTTAACTACAACATGAAAGTTGTTAAATTTAACAGATAACTTGTAGATAATTAAAAATAATAGAGAACTTTTTAATCTTTCAAATTTGAAATAACTACTTATTTACAGAATAGTGCAATGCTTCAGTTGGGCTGTTAAAAGATTTCAAGCTACAACTTGTTCACAAGAAGACTGAATAAGAGGTGTCAGAAAGTACTTGTATTTCTAATTAATTAAAAGGATGTTTATCTATGTTAAACGTACGTGAACTTCAACTTTCTGGAATTTTTAGACACACTACTACTAGTTACAAACAATGCTATATTCAATAAATAGATCCCATATGGTACCATCATTCTTTTAAACCTGTAACAGAAGTTAAAATATAAATCTAGTTGGACAGTAGCCCTCACCCATCATCAACATACTGTTAAATAAGCATGGGTTGTTATTAACACATACTAGTAGTGTGACGTGTATGTTATTAACATGTATATTTGAAAGACACAAATATGTAAAATGGAAGTGTAGTGACCTGTAACGTTTGTTCTACCAGACGTAATGCTGTCATTGTATTTATGTAAATGATTGTGTGAAAATAATTGGAAAGTTTTGTTTTGCATGATACAGTATATATAAATGTTTGTATTTATTTGTATATTTTTGTCACATACAATAAAGATTCATTGGTATTAGAGCTGCTGAAAACCTTGTTACATTAGTACAATAAACTACTGAGCATCAGTGGAGATGGCTCAGATGTTTTTTAGCTACAAATATAGCATTAACAAAACTCAAGGCGTATAGATTAGCGACACAAGTAATACAGAACAAGGTAAAGATGTTACCATAGTTACTTCATCTCGGTATTCTTCATATGTGCTTCTCTTTTTATTTAGTAGAGGATCAAGACACATCAGAAACAACATATAGACCACCAACAGAGAAACGGCCCAGATAATGATGATAACAACTACCTATTCAAAAGAAGTAACAGGTTACAGAGCAATAAGATAGATACTATTTACAACACTTTAAGAAACATGTGATATTCATCATCATGTTACTAAGAAGATTTCAATCACTGGTTTGCCTTTATATTCAACATCCCATGAGTTTGTTACAAATCCTACGGCATATAAAGAAAGAATTGATATGAATCATCATGTTAAGATAACTTTAAATTAAATACACTTTTGTGCTTACAAATGATTAGTATATGTAGATAACAATTTCAAGTCCAAAATATGTGTGTTTAAATTACTGATTTATTAAACATTATGATGTGGTAGTGATCTTACATGAGACAGTTCAACTACGGTTGTTGAAAATATTTTAGTTGTGTGTGTTTTTTTTTATAATTTCTGATGAAACTGAAAAGCCACTTTCTTTCTACTGGTCTGATGTTCGTAAAGTTTGAAAATAACCTATTTACTGGTCTGATGTTCGTTAAGTTTGAAAATAACCTATTTACTGGTCTGATGTTTGTTAAGTTTGAAAATAACCGATTTACTGGTCTGATGTTTGTTAAGTTTGAAAATAACCTATTTACTAGTCTGATGTTTGTTAAGTTTGAAAATAACCGATTTACTAGTCTGATGTTTGTTAAGTTTGAAAATAACCGATTTACTGGCCTGATGTTCGTTAAGTTTGAAAATAACCGATTTACTGGTCTGATGTTTGTTAAGTTTGAAAATAACCTATTTACTAGTCTGATGTTCGTTAAGTTTGAAAATAACCGATTTACTGGCCTGATGTTTGTTAAGTTTGAAAATAACCTATTTACTGGTCTGATGTCCGTTATGTTTGAAAATGGCCTCTTTACTGGTCTGATGTTCGTTATTTAACCTTTTCACGACAGGCTTGATATAAGATACACGAGTTCGTATACACATTTGCACAAATTAAGTATTTACACTATAACTTGTAATGCTGTATGTGTATCTTCACAAAATTTGGTAGACTTTTAGTAATGATTCCAAGTCTTTTGTACACAAAAAAATCAGATTTTTTAATGAAGTATTTTTACTAAAGATTTGTGCGTGAAAATATCGAGTCTGTTTCGTTACTAGACCAAGTGCAAAGTGATTTTCATGTCATGATTAAAAAAAACTATTCTTCATCCTAAAAACTGATGGCAGGAAGATGAATGATTCAACAATAAAGAACAAGATGTCCAAGCCCAAATCAACTGTTGATGTACTTCCTCTGTATGTGAAACAAATTCATTAGAAATACTTGATAACATAAAATGTTGCAAGAAGAAAGCATGTTCAAGTTCAGTTAAAATATTAGCAGCCCTGGAGATAATTACTTCATAAAGCAGCAGTATGGACTGTAATATTAAAAGAACAAGGAACCCACATCGACAAAGAAACTAAGTCCATAGGGGTATCCAACAAAGAAGACGTCCAAAATGTTTGGGAGATCGAGAACAGTTTATAGTTAAAAGCTGGGGTGAAGAAACCAGTTCAAAATGAGACTCATCATCAATTGAAATGAGGAAAATTACTGAAAAGATAAAGCAGAGGTTTACATAGGTGTTTCCTGCACTAAGAAAGTTGAGATTGAGAGCCAAGTGGCTGTAAAGTTAAAGTAACCAAATTAGAAGAACTTACCAGAACACTCGTAGTGTTTTGAACAGAAGTAACGTGTAAAGAATGAATTTTAAGTTAATTTCAGCATGCAACTTTTAATATAAAGTGAAGGCAGGAAAAAAAAAAGAACACACTCTAAGACAGAATCATCCAATATATGATTAGCCATTTCAGGTGTTACACAAGCAGGTTCAATATTTAAATTTTTTGGAACATTGTTAAGTGACAAGCTAAATCTAGTCAGTAAAAGTGTGAGGTAATCAGTCCTGTTCTTTAGAAACATAAGGCAAAGAAGCTTGGGCAAAAGATCAGGCTTGATTACCAGTAGGTGAGTAATGGCAATGTTCTATGATATTAGTGTCAACCTGAATGTGAAATCTGACAAAGGAAACTACAAGTGATTCAGCATGCACAGCCTGAATATGTTGATTAATCAGGGTCAACAAAGCAGCCACAGGATCTTCTTGTACACTTGTAGTCAAATGTGGAAATAAGGCCTCAAATGATGGAGCAGAAACTTCCAAATTACCATCAGGGTTAACAGTAAAGTCTGAATTGATATCAATCTGGCTTTGAGCAAGAAGGTAGAGCTTATGTAGTTCTCTGGTGCATGCTTAAATAAGTTATTTGAAAGATGGGAGATGGAAAAACTATGAGTAGGTATGATGCAAGTTTTACATTAGGTTACTTCAGTGTTTCCCAAACTTTTATCACCCCCCCACTCCAGTTTAGTAAATATGGTTTCTTGAGCAACCCCACTCTTTTCATAAATGAGTGAAAAGTGAGTTAAGTGATGAGATATAATACACAATAAAATACTATATGTGATGTAGTAATTATTTATCATTTTCATTAATAAAAAATATATTAAAATGTTTAATTTTACATTATTACACTATTGACTCTACCATACTCACTGGATTACGTGATATTGACAGAGTAAGTTATACCGAACAAGAAAAGGCAAACATTAAGTCTGCCTGTTTTGGAGTCATTCTCATTATTTTTAACCTGCTGTGTATAGACAAATTATACTTACCCTGATAGTAGTAGTGTTCCTACTTTCATAATGACATTCACAGCGTGGACAGAATTCTCTCTCTTTATTCTTTAGGTCATAACCAATTTGTGACAGAACAACACCATCACAGTTACTGAAAAAAAAAAAAAAAGGAAAATTTTCAGTATTTAGTAGTTCTTAAGTCATATTTCTTATCATTTTCCCCTATACCCTCAATCAATATTTTTACTATTTTCTGACTGGTTGACATAACAGTGATATACAATAAAACATTTTTTTTAAAATTAACAACTATGAATTTTTTCATGTTTCAGGTATATATATATATATATATATATATATATATATATATA